AAGAGGAAGAGGGTTCATGGAAGAGGGGTCCAAGTCGGCTTGGAGGCATTGCATGAGCAGAGCACAGGTGTGTCACAGACGCAGCTGTGAGGACCAGCAAAGGCAAAAGACCTGGTGGGAGACCCAAGGTGTGCTCAGGTGACATGAGCCAACGGCGTGCCTGGAGCAGAGGATTCGGACAGGAAAACCTTCCTGGCGACAAAAGTGAAAGGCATGCAGTAACCAGGTGGCAGGGGAATCTCCACTCCCGAGTTGGAGGGCTGATAAAAGACCGACAGATTGCCACTGCAAGCCCCATTTTCAAGACTTTTTTTTCAGAAAAGGTAGAATTTGATCCCTCAGATATTCCATAACAAGATCTAAGAGGATCAGTGATTTCTGAAACATCTCTGGGCACTCACAGCTCAAGGCCAAGAACAAGTGAACAGGTATACTACAATCTGATCTGAGGACAAAGCAGAGGTTCCCCATCATCATTTTCCAAGGAATCTGGGAAAACAGCCTTCCTTTTGTCTGATTAGAAATACAGTTCACCAAGTTTGCTGTGATTCTTTAACGCAAAAGGTCACACAAGCAAAACAGAGCCAATGGTATCTTTAAGTATGCCTTACACAAACTCCATAACGTGTGAAGAACAGATAAGTAGAACAGAAGAGTAGAAAGAATATTTGAAACGAACATATATTTACTATACAGAAAAGCCATTTTAACCTAGAAAAATCTTATTCACCTTAAAACTTCTCCGTAAAGTCATGTTGGCCATTCTTCATAATCACGCATAAATCTTGATTTAAAGGAAGTGTAGAGGACTTGAAAGCGGTTCATCGCCAACCATTCACAAAGATTCCTTTCTCCTGTTTTGGCCAAGCGTGCTGCTTGAGCCCTGCTACTGCCGAATCCCACTGGAGGTAACTGAGTGACTACAGGGTGTACTCTCCAGCAACGTCCCAGATTTACACTCTCATCCAGGCAGTCATGGAAAAGACCTTGTCTGGCAAGTGTTTCTAAATATGAGGGGGGTAGTGTTTGGCAGAGGATGGGGGCCCCTTTACTTTTTTAAATGCCCACATAAAACAATTGTTAAAAAAGAGCTTGTGGCTTGGACATGCCCCGAGTTCAATTCTGCCAGGAATGGTAACAACAGTCAACGGAGCCCTCACCTCCTTTCTATCGGGACTACACAATAGCTTTCAAAGAGGTTTAGTCCTACCATGAAAGACCCGGGTTAGACATCGGAAAGGTCTCACAGAGAAGGGGCGCCAGGCCCCGGAAAACACAAGGGAGACGTGACCTTGTGCCCCGCCTGCTGGAAGCCCAGATGTCCTGCAGTAGAGGACGAGAAAGAGGCCGGTGAGCGACCAGGTGCTGGGACCCGTCTCCTCTGGGTTTCCTGCACACTTTGTTTCTAAAGCAGTTTAAGTCTCATCGTGACTTCGGTGGCATTAGGGAGTGAGAGAAAGGTACAATTCCTGGAACGGACTGAGCCAATGTCCCTTTGCCCTTTGCCCCCGCATTGTCTGAGCCCTGCAGCACACGCACACATTTCATCAGCAACAGGCAAGACAATGGCTTTCGCAGTAGCTGGAAGATTAGTCCCAATTAGGCCCATTTCCCAGCTGAATGGGAAGGGGCAGTGGGGCGAGCTGCAAGACAAACTACAGAAATTTCCAAGAACTATTCCATCAGGGAAGCAGGCACTACAACATAAAGCACAGAGCTACAGGTCAGGAGACTGCCAACATTCCCTCCGCGGCATTTGGCAAATAGCTTAACCGCGCGGTTCGTATCTACAAAACGTGGGCGACCTTCACTGCCCTGCAGAGGCTCCGAAGCCAGCCTAATGTCCTACGTGGCTGAAGGAGCTCTGAATTTGAAGTGTTACACAAATGTAGGGGCTCCTCCTAAGCCAGATTTGAAAGCACGGCTACCCACCCATCTGATACATCGTTTATCCTGTGTTCCCCTCGCAGTCATTAGTGCATGCTTTCCTTTCTTATTTTGTTTCGTCGCTCACTTCTGTAGTCAGAGAGCGATACTTACATATGTACATGTGGCGGCTGGAACCTGCTCTGGTTGATGTTGTAGTGCGTGAACGCCTGGGTGGGGTTCGAGCTATACTCATCCACCGTGATGGGAACTTTGCCTTGAGGTGGAATCCCATGTGCCATCCTTCCTCCCTTTAGGCATGAGCAATTCACAACTTCCCAGAGCAAGCGATGGAAGCAGACATGGTGCGCTTCAGCCAACCTCTGACGCCAAGGGTCCGCTCATCAATACCGCTGTGCGTTTCTGGATGAAAAAAAGATATATCCATGTATAATGAGAATAAAGAGAAAGAGAATGCTCTAGAAGGCAGGAAGTCGAACATCTTAACAGGAATATGAGGAAGAGGACGCGCTAGGAGACCGCAAGTCCGACATCTAAACGTGCAACTGGTTCAGGGAACATCTGAATATGTATTTTCGCCTAGTGGATATGACTGTGCCAACTCTATTCCTGCACTCACTTCAGAGGGGACTGACACGCCATGTGACATTGCTGGGTGCTAGTGCCTCCTCTCAATGGAGTTCAAACCAAGAGTTCCTCTTTAATTATAATTATGGTACTTAACGTGAATGATGGAGGGGCATGTCCACAGTTGCCATGGTGCCTAGCTATAAATGGTATATGCTCAAAATGGAGAATGTCCCAAGCCTTCCCTGCTAATTGGAATGTTTGGTCTTTACAAAATCTGTGTCATATAACCATTTAAAATCTCAACACTTAAAACAGCCATATCACACCATAACAAACGTAAATTAAAATGCTGTGTTTATAACAGATGCATGTATATAACTCTAGTATGTACCATTATACACACATTCCACACAATTTTTTCTTTCACAAGCAGCTCCCGAAATACATAGGTATTCAATGCCCGGTCTGCATATGCATTTTTTTTTAGCCAAAAACTTTACGGTCAGGCAAATCCTTCTTGCTGAACGAAGAACAATTTCTTTAAGCACTTCAGTCACTCATGCGAAACTCAACAAGCTTGGACCACCAGTTCGGCTGCATGGTTGCCACGATACCCCCTCTGAGCCCTGACAGAGTGGTCGAGGAAGGGCCACAAGAACTGCCACCTCCTCCTTGGTGCTGCGGAATTCGCCGTAGTTGTTTTCGCTTTGTAAAACATTTCTATTCATTCTTATCCTTTTGAGAAATGTCAGTATATAATTTGCCGCGCTGGGTGGAGAAATGAAGACATCGCTTTTTACAGGAGGTGAGTGAGGGCTGAGGAAAGCAAACCCGGACATCGGAGCTATTGCAACTGATGAGCGTGGTAGAGAAGCGGGCAGGTGGCACACTCCTTAGGTAACCTTGAGTAACCCACCCTCTTACTTGAAACGCTCCACTTCAGAATACGTTTGCCATGTGCACCATTAAGCTCCAGGAATCTTAGCTGCTATCTCAAATAAAAATATTTAGAATAATAAGATTAGATTTAAATTTGGCATGAAACACCTTAAAAATCGAGCATAAGGCAGATGGCCTGCCATAGGCCATTTATTTTATTATTTTACAACCCGGGGCCCATGCAGCCCTCCATATGCTAGCTGAGCGAAGAAATCTCCCAGCGTCCTCCTGAAACCATTGCCCTCTTCACGTCGTGGGCAGAGCGACCGACGTAACCCCACTTCGCCTCGTTCCTGGCATGCAGAGGTGGCTCCGAGGTGCTCTGGCATTTAGACGGCGTGTCACTTTGGGGTTCTCTTTCTTCTGCCTGCATTTACGGGAGGTACGAGTCCTTTAAGCACCAGTTGCCAGACAAGCAGGCCAGTAGGATTAACTAAATTAAAATCTTCCCCTGCTCCTCCAATGTAAGATATCGGGAAGAACTGCTTACAAATCATAATGTAGCAGTTTCATACCAAGTTTGCAGCTGTTTCCTTAATTTCCCCCACAATTATATTTTACTGTTATTTTGCATAACAGTAAAACACAACACCTGCTTCAAATTGCAGTCCTGTTCTAAGTACTGTAATTCTCTTTTGAGACACAAAGTACCGAGACACTACTGAAGCGCAGGACTGCATAATTGCGTGGCGCTGAAAAGTAAATACAAATGAAAACATCTTCCTGTTATAGAAATGACTGTCATTAAAAAGAATGTTAGCCATCAAAGCACAGAGGGGGGAAAAACACACATTTCAGACGGGAAGAACTTAGTGTTCGCATAAATTAGAGAGTGGTGTAAAAATTACTTGGCAATTCTTATGCTCCTTCCCCCATCAACGTCTATTGTGTAGAACACAGAACATCAAGAAGCAAAGCAAAGCAAATGCACGTCTAGACCGCTGTGACCCCTGAGTAATAATTCTGCACCCGGTGCCAGAAAGACTTACATGTTTCTGGAGTGAACTCACTAAACTAAGCAAAACCGGGGCCTAGAAATAAAATGTACAAACATGCTGTTTAAATACCATGCAATGACGAGAAGTTAGCAGATACCCTTCTGCAGATGCCCTCCCATTTGAAGCCCAGAGACAGAATGAGGTGGTGAGCAAGTCGCACTCCTGCAAGGCCACTCTACCCTGATGGTGACCTCCGCAGGCCCCTCCTGTCAGTGAACTCCGCCTCTGCACCTCTGCACCTCTGCACCTCCGCACCTTGGCACCTTGGCACCTCTGCCCAGCAAGCACAGACCCCACAACTCAAGGGCTCGAGGGTGATCAGCCTCATCTGAATCCATCTTTACCATGGTCCCTTTCAGTGTTTTATCGAAACAGCGCACCTGCCGTGCCTATCTTCTTTAATCTGGAATCCTTTGAAGAAAATGTCAGACTGAGGCAGACAGCTTCAAAATTCACAGCACCTTAACAGACAAGTCAAGGAAATGCTTATTTTCTAAAGTGCTATGCTCTCTCCCACCCACATTTCAACATGAACATAGCCTAAGACGATTAAAACAGGGGAAGCACTGGTTTTCCGCTAAATGCTCAGAAACGGGACAGTGGGCCAAATTACTCCCTTAAGTCTAAGAAATCTGCAAAATCCTAAAATAAGACAGAAAGATACACTAAAATCACCAAGAGGCGTATCACCTTGCTTCCTGTCTGGAGGCAGTAAACCCTTCCCAATGACCAGCTCTGGGGCGCACCTCGCCCGCCACACTGACATTAACTTTTACACACACTGTGTGAAGGGCAGGGTATCAGTCTCCTCCCCAGTAATTTTCATTTTCTAGTTCAACACGCTTACTCCACAAAACAAAAGAAAGCGGTACAAAAAGGCCAAGAAGCCTAAGGAAAAACAGAAAAACAACCGGCACTGCCAAATATTCATGCTGGTGCTAGTTGGATTTTTCTCTTAGGAAAAAAAAAAAAAATCATGCGCGCGCATTTTGCATTTCCTAGACAGCAATCGCTTCGCCTGTCCCTTAAACTGTACAACCAGCAATGTTCTTTTCCAGGAATTCAGTTGGAAAACCTCTTAAAGTCTGCTGGCAATGAAGGGATTAAAAGCGGAGGCATTAAATAACTGTCTCCACCTCCCAGACACCAGAAGTCCAATTTGCCAAACTTTCAAAGCAACAGCTCCTGACCCCTCTACCGTGCAGCGCCCGGCAGAGCCTCTGAGAAAGGAGCCCCGCGATTTCCTCCTTTACACGAAGATGCTCATTTTAATCCGCCGCCCCGGGAAGACTGTGGGACTCGCTGCTCCAGATCCGCCGGATTCCGCTCCCCCTCGCCCTGCCGCGCGGATCCAGGGCCGCCTCGACTCCCGCCCCAACTCTTCATGCCCACGTCTGCCGGTCCGGCGTCTGGGAGCGATGCCCACGCGCCTTCCCGCGTCTCCGCCAGGGTTCGGGGTGCGGACTTGGGTCCCACGTGCCCGGGCCGGCTGCGCGCCCGCCCGCCCTCCGCACTCGCACCTGAGCTGGTCTCCAGCACTGCGGACGCCAGGCCGGCACATGCTTTCGGGGACCGAGGGCAAGACTCCCCTCCCGCGCCTCTG